TTACCCTTTCGGCTTGACCGTTCGCTTTCGGGGAGCCAGTCGCTATTTTTACATGTTTTATATCATTTACTGTTATAAAATCTTCAAATTCCTTAAATGTAAAAGCGGATCCTCTATCTGAGATGATCATAGCTGGCTTACTATAATATGCAAAATATTGAAGCAGACAATTAACCTCTTTACTGGCAATAGTTTTAACCGCATATAATTTAGTAAACTTAGTGAAAGCATCAATTATAAGGAAAATATGCTGTTTTACCAGTCGTTGTTTATCTATTGGACCACAATGATCTACGTGTAATATCATGAAAGGAACATTACCCTTTGGAATAGCATGTAAAAATCCTTCAACTTTTCCGTTGCTAGGTGAGAACGCGATACATTTGAGACTGTTGTGAGTTTGAGTTCGAATCAAACGCCCCGCACTTGCGCTCTCGCATTAGCACAGCATCAAACCATCTAGGGCCTGGTGGCGCTTCAGGCGACACAAATGGCGTGGTGCATCCGCGCTAGGGACTCTAGTCCGCTAGCCCCCTGCCTCCATCTTGACTGTTTATGTTCGTTCGTTGAGTGATAGTAACAAAGGGCTGCAGAACAACCTCGCTTATTATTGCGTCGAATATCAAGCTCTCAGCAGAACGTCTCGTGTCTACGGCACCCGTGCAGAACGTCTAGTGCCTACGGCACCGTGCAGAACGTCTCGTGCCTACGGCGCATGTGCAGAAGTCTCGAGCCTACGGCCTCCATGCAGATAGTCTCGGGCCTATGGCACCTTCGCAGAAACTCTCGTGCCCGCGGCACCCCGATCAGTAAGTCTCGTGCCTGCGGCACCCTAAGCTCTAAGCACCCGATTATTCACGTATGATTCATATGTTCCATCGACAGGTTACATTCCTTGAGATTCTTGTTTGTATTCTTATCCATAAAAGGTTTTGTTATGTGTTAGCGTGTGGTCTTATTTTTGTCTTGACCTTTTCAGTATCCTATCATCGCGAGTGCGAACATTTGGTCCTTCGAGCCGGATATCATTGGTCAGGGCGAGATGAGGTTCACACATATTAAGACTCGCTTAGAGCAGCAGGTTTCACTCAATGACTTGATTGCCAAATCATATGACAGTTTAACCAAGGTCGGTATGCACAATTTGAATTCTCAAAGGATTAAGGCACGACTAACAGCCCTCAAGGACGACTGGGAAAAATTTTCCATCGTTCACGAGGCAATCGGCATCGCTATAGGTGAATTGAGTACTGAGGATAAACTACTCGCTCGGGGACACTCCTACTTTACCGACAGCATTTTTGCAACCACTCGTGAAATCTATTTAGAAACAACGGAACGAATGAATTTATTGCTGGATACTGTCCATGAACCTTCCCAGTCTTTATCCAGCACTCATAGCGCTCTCACTCAGGCGGTACAGCCATGTTATTATCAAACAAGACTTCCGCTTATAGACTTGCCGAAATTTAATGGCACTCCTGCCGATTGGCTCTCATTTAAGGACTTGTTTACTTCATTAGTAAATGCGAATGCATCCATCTCGTCAGTTGAGAAATTGCAATATTTAAAAACTAGTTTGATAGGTTCGGCAGCTCATCTGCTGAAAAACATGGCAATAACGGACGATAATTTTAATCGAGCATGGGAGACCCTGACTACCTTCTATGAGAATAAGAGGATGCTTGTCAATGCAGCATTGCATTCGTTGCTCAATCTGAAGCGTATGACAAAGGAGTCCGCTGTGGAAATGGAACATCTCTATACAACGATCATGCAGATTTACCGATCACTGGAAAGTCTCCATCGACCTGTGGGCACTTGGGACGATTTCCTCGTATTCATCGTGGTTCAACGGCTCGATCTAGAGTCTGTGAAAGCATGGGAGCATCATTTAGGAGCAGCAAAGGAGCCCCCCACGTGGTGCCAACTTACGGAATTTCTAGTAACACGACTCCGCGCACTCCAAGCTCTTGAGAGATCCCGTTCGGGAAAATATTTTCTACCATCTCAGCAAACGTTAGTCAAGGCATGCTACCAAGGCAAATCTAATGAAAGGGACACTAGTAAGGGACAAGGATGTCTTCTTTGCTCATCCAAACATTACATTTCTGCTTGTCCGCAATATACCTCGAAATCAACTCAACAAAAATTGTCTTTTATCACCAAACGAAAACTATGCTTTAATTGTCTCGGAGGTCATCGAGCCTCTGTCTGCCGTAGTTCTAGAAGGTGTGTTAAGTGCGGACGCAAGCACCACACCTCGATCCACCCAGGAATGGTTCAACCTAGTAAAGCGACCTCGGAAGACAAGGAGCAAGTCAAGCCTGCCTCCTCAACTGCTAAGACTGATGAGGCTCAAGTCATGCACTCTTCCATAACTACGTCTGCTACGATGCGGGTGTTATTAGCCACAGCAAAGGTGCGGCTCACTTCTTCAAACGGACACGTTACTACTGTGAGAGCTTTAATCGACCAGGGTTCGGAGATTTCTCTGATATCTGAAAGAACGGTCCAACGGCTAAAAACGCCTCGGACTCACTCAACGGTATCCTTAGTTGGCATCGGTGCTCGTTCGTCCAATAGGACAAGAGGAGTTGTTAACGTTATCATTAGTCCATCCTTCGAATCGGATTTCAAGTGCACCGTCTCGGCTCACATACTCACCAATCTTACCTCCGCCTTACCCTCTCTGTTTGTTGACAAGGACTTATGGTCGCATCTGGATGGATTACAATTGGCTGATTCTTACTTCTATCAACCTGGTTCGATTGATCTCATTTTAGGAGCGGACGTATACGGATTTATTATAGCAGAAGGTGTTATTAAAGGGCCTCCCGCCTCTCCAGTGGCGCAGCGTACGAATCTTGGATGGATTGTGTCTGGTCCTACTGGCAATCAGATAGCAACGGAGGACGTTCGGAATTGTCATATTAAATTAGAGGAGGATTTATCTCTCCTTTTACAACGCTTCTGAGAATTGGAAGAGGTTCCTGCTTCGATCGATCGCTCACTTTCACCGCAAGAACAGGATTACGAGGATCATTTCCGAACCACTCATTTGAGAGATCCGCTTGGTCGATATATAGTCAGACTGCCGTTCAAACGGTCAATTGAGCTCTTAGGAGATTCAAAACGGAAGGCCACTATTCTTCTTCACAAATTGACCAATCGACTTGAAAAGGATTCAACTTATGCCAAGATGTACTCTGATTTGATGAGGGAATACGTCACTTTACACCATATGGAATTGCTACCAGCTTGACAAACAGAGCCTCCGTCGACTTATTATTTGCCCCATCACGGGGTATTGAGGGAGGAACATCTTACTACGAAGCTGCGAGTAGTATTTAATGGCTCTAGCAAAACTACCTCCGGACTTTCTCTCAATGATCTACTGCACATCGGTCCGAAGTTACAAAGCAATATTTTTGACGTGCTCATTTGGTTTAGACAATTTCGCTACGCATTTTCCGCAGATATAGAGAAGATGTTTCGCCAGATAAAGGTCCACCCGGATGATTGGAAGAGCCAACGAATACTATGGACAAACGAGTCAAAGGATCTTTTGACGTATCAGCTCACCACCGTGACCTACGGAATGGCTTGCGCTCCGTTTTTAGCGCTCCGCACTCTACTTCAACTGTTGCAGGATGAAGGCCACCGATTTCCATTGGCAGTACCAGTACTTGCTAAAGGCAGGTACGTGGATAACTGTTTGGTGGAGCCGATTCCATTGAACAAGCTCAAGCTATCGTTGAACAGACAAGCCAGCTTTGCTTGGCGGGCGGCTTCCGCTTACGAAAGTGGACAAGTAACCATTCAGAAGTGTTGTCGTCTATCCCTAAACAAGACCAGGTACTTCTGTCATTCATACCCATTGAGGAAAATGTTGTAGTCCATACTCTCGGTCTTTCTTGGGCGCCAGAGATCGATTGTTTTAAATTTGCCTTTAACAATATATGGGTCAAATCCGTTACAAAACGAATTATCTTATCTGTGATTTCCAAACTGTTTGATCCACTCGGATTGCTAGCACCTGTCATTATTGTAGCAAAGATTCTTATGCAAGAAGTATGGACGCTACGATTGGATTGGGACGACCATCTTCCCCCTGCTATTATTGAAAGATGGACACTATTTGTCCGCGGCCTAAAGGACTTAAATGTCCTCACCTTTCCCCGATGGTTGGGAGTGAGTTCTGCGCAACCTCAAGAGCTACACGGTTTTGCTGACGCTTCACCGCACGCTTATGCTGCGGCAGTTTATATCCGAACAACTGCAAAGGATGGATCTGTCTACACGCAACTTATTTGTGCCAAGGCCAAAGTCACCCCATTAAAGAGAATGACCACAGCGCGGTTGGAACTCGCTGGAGCGGTCCTTGTGACCAAGTTGGTAACACACCTGTTAAGGAATATGGAACGGAACGACATCTCAGTCTACCTTTGGACAGATTCAACTGTCGTCTATACCTGGATAGCTAACCACCCGTCCCGCTGGAAGGATTTTGTACACAACCGAACTTGCTACATCCAAGAAGCATTACCACACGCTCGATGGGGTCTGGTGCCAGGTAAAGAGAATCCTGCCGACCTTGCAACCCGAGGGCTCACACCTAGTCAGTTAGCGGTCCAGCAGTCCTGGTGGACTGGTCCCATCTGGCTGGCAGAACCCTCGCATTGTTGACCTAACCGGCCGTGCACTGACGGGGGTGGGGAGGTTCTTGAGGAGCGACCTGCCAGGGTGGCGACCACCAGGGTTGATCCGAGGAGGTGTTGGGATTTGCTGCAGAAATACTCATCTTTAACTCGATTACTAAGGATCACGGCTATTTGTCAACGGGTAATCCAGCGAATGCGTAAGGTCCCTAAATCATCATTGAGCTATCCTATTGGTCCTACTGATCTACTATTGGCTAAGCGTTACTGGATAATCACCGTTCAGAGTGTGGCCTTTCATAAGGAACTCGACTTGATAACTGCTCAGGGATTCGTGCCGCCCTCACACCCCATCGCTCGACTCACCCCATTTAAGGATTCGGACGGAATATTAAGAGTAGGAGGGCGTCTCCAAGCATCGATGCTTACCATGGAAGCAAAGCATCCAGCGATTCTACCTAAACAATCACCGTTTACAACTCTGGTCATAGCAGACTCTCATAAGAGGACATTGCATGGCGGTACTCAGCTCACGTTGTGCACAACTCGAGAAGAATTTTGGATAATGGGTGGACGTATACCCATTAGAAGTTATATCCACAAATGCCTTCAATGTACTCGCTATCGTTGCAAACGGGCTCAGCAACTTATGGGACAACTCCCGAAAGAGCGAGTAATCCCATCCCGTCCGTTCTTGAATACTGGGGTTGATTATGCGGGGCCGTTCACTCTCAAGACCTGGAAGGGTAGAAACGCCCGCACCTATAAAGGCTATATTGCGCTGTTCGTGTGCTTATCTACTTCTGCAGTTCATTTAGAGCTGGTAACGGACTATTCTACAGAGGCGTTTATAGCGGCATACAAGAGGTTTACGGGACGACGAGGAATTTGCGCTAGCCTCTGGAGTAACTGCGGCACGAATTTCAAAGGGGCTGACGTTACACTACAACGATTATTCTCAAAAGCCACGGAGGAATCCAACCACCTACTTTCCCTTTTAGCCAATGACGGCACCCAATGGAACTTTAATCCGCCATCAGCGTCACACTTTGGAGGAAAATGGGAGGCAGGCGTAAAATCGATGAAGTACCATTTTCATCGAGTGATGGGAGAAGTTTCATTAACGTATGAGGAATTCACGACTCTTCTAGTTCAAATTGAGGCGATACTCAATTCGAGACCTCTTACTTCGTGTAGTGATGACCCGGACGACTTGAACGTCTTAACACCTGGCCACTGCATAATGGGTTGTGCACCCACACTCATTCCAGAACCATCACTAGAAGACGTTCAGCTTTCACATTTGTCTCGCTGGCAATTAATACGGCAAATGATCGATCGGTTTTGGACCAGGTGGTCCAAAGAATACCTACAACGGCACCAAGCCATCTCGAAATGGATGAGTAAAACCAAGGACATTGGGGTCGGATCCATGGTACTGATAATCGATGAGAGGTACCCTCCTGCTAAGTGGCCCCTTGGTCGAGTCACTGAAGTCCATCCTGGCAAGGACGGACTAATAAGAGTAGCAACGATTAAAACTCAATCTACAGTTCTAAAGAGGCCTATAGTAAAGCTTTGCTTATTGCCTGTTCAGGCTGACTAAGGTAGCTACTCTACGTTAACTTCAGTTAACGTAGGC